GGCGTCCTCTGCCACCTCGCTCCCGGAGTCGGTGAGGAAAACAGCCGTAACGCCTCCAGGCCCCAGGCCCGGGGCTGCGGCGCGCTTCTGGGGGCCTCAGACTCTCCCCCGTCCCCGGTAAGGCAGCCAGGGTCTGTTCAGCGCCTTTTGCCAGCTCTTGCTAATACTCGGTTGACTTTCTTATAAAATAAAAGATGCAGATCAAATGCTCTATTATTGTATTTTGGTTTCTAGGCAGTTTGTTTCATGGTGGCATTTCATCGGATCTATGTGAGCAGAAAACCCAACAGAAGAATAATTTAAATCAAACTATACAAAATTACCTATCACTGTTTGATTTGCTCAGCACAGTTACCGACACCCAGAGATTACCAACACACAGCACACGTCTTTTTTTTTAATTTAACAGAAGCCTAACATTTTTTTAGCACGGGCAGTGCTATGCCGCTGGCCCAAGGGCTGTTCCTGTCTGACCTGCACAAGGAGGCAAGCAGGGGGATACTCCCAGGCTGCCTCCACGGGAGGTGAACACTGCAAGGGGAAAGCCGGGGTAGCCGAGAGGGACCTGGTGCTGGGAGCAAGAGCTTCCTGGCAGCCAGGGAGGCAGAGGCTGGAAGGAGAGGAGGCGGCAGCAGCGATGGCCGCAGCCCTAGCAGGGTGGGCAGGCAGAAACGTTTCTCTGTGGGGAAATGTAGCTGGGAAGCCTAGAGATGTGGGGTGGGCAGCAACAATACTAAAACATTTAGAGGAAGAAGGGACAGAGTAAATAAAGGGAGGAACCAAGAACATATGTCAAAGAAAGTAACAGCAGTAAAAAAAAAATGGATAGATGGGCTGAAATCACTCGTCCATCTCACAACCTAGATCTTCAGTCCTTATTCCCTCCCGTGCCGAGTCCTGTGCTGACTCGTTCGCAGAACAGGTACTCGGCCTAACAGACGTGCCAGCCAAAGCACCGCATTGGAGTTGCAACTGAAGGCCAAGAAGATTGTTAGAAAATATGCCGTTGCTCCTACCTTAGCTAGAGTATCAACAAAGTTGGGAGATGTATTTTTTTATCCACGTAGTAAAATTTAGTAGGATTTGGGGGGGGGAGAGCAGGAAGAAGGACAAATTAAGTCCTAGAAAAGCACATAGTATGCGATGACAAACACTGACACATATGACAGTGGATGCACCAATACACCTGTGATGACATTCTGCATGTTGGCTAATCGGAATTTGGTGGTATTAAATCTGCATGCATAAATGTATCTGAACCCTCTGTGTGGAAACACTGAGCAACAGGAGCAACACAATACCCACGTTGGATTCCTCTGGCTTCTATCAGTCACTATTCTTGCTTTATAATGTAAAAAGCTACAGCATGGCTAGATAGGAAAAAAACAACCACTTCAGCTATGGAAAGCAAGACTGTTAGCCTAGATTTCACCAATAACTCTGTTAAACCATGCTGCTCAGAGTAACTCCAACACTCAAAATAGCCTTGTCCTTTTAGGTATTTCGGTCTGACTGAAGGATAAGGCCAAAGGAGGGAACAATGTGTCATAAGATTTCTTCAGTTACTTTGGGGTTTCCAGCTTTTGGCAAGAGAACCCCCTCAGATGTCTTCAGGAAAGGAAATCTCTGGAAAATCTTGTGGGCAGCCAAATCCTTAGGTGGATGGATCTACCAGTCTTCTAAGGATGCATTAATTGGCAACAGGCATGTGCTACAGCTTTTCTTTAATGATGCAGCTGATACCAATAACAAAGACCTCAGATTAAATCTGGATGGGAAAAACATGTTTGGTGTCTTCAAAAGATTGGCCAGTAAGTAATTAGTAGATCTATCATACAAGCAAAACTCAGGAATGTATGATTTTAAGTATTACAGAGTGATTGTTTTAGAAAAATATTGTACAGTTCCTGAGCAACCCTATACGACTGAATGAAGTCTCTGCCTCTTTTCAAAATTCAGTAGAGAGTGAGTAATATAGATGTATGAGGGCAGCACCAAGTAACCTAGTTTATCAACTGTACCACATACAATATGTCATTCTTAATGTAATATTTGACTGATTACAACTTAAGGTCATCAATGCAAATACAAAATCAATAATGCAAGATGAGCTCAGGTTAACACTGAACATTAGCAGGTGTGCAAAGTCCAAAAACGACAATACACCTAAAGTAAGCCTTACAGACAGGACTCCCTTGTACTTAAAACTTTACAAATATCACCATAAATAATGAACAGAACATAAAGTGAGGCCTCAGCCCCTTCCCTCCCCACACTTCACCTTTAACCCACTAACAGATGGAAAGGGTTTGAATGCGAAGCAGGCCCAGGGGCTTCTGGCCAGCTCACCCCAATCAGCCGACCTGCTGCACCTTTGCTCTCAGTCCCAAACAGCAGAACTGTTTTGCAACTCAACACAAGTGACGGACCAGGCTGCAATATTGGGCCACCCTGAAACGACAAAGATGAATGAGCTTTATCTTGGTACCTTTATCAGACTTGCAGTACCCTATTTAACTCTGCTTGGACGGTGTCCAGGATTGAGATCCAAATGCATAAAAGGGACTTGTAAAGGAACAAAATAACGTAGCAATTGCACAAAGGCAAAGAATTATGAAACATGTATGGTACAGATCAAAGTTGTTATTTAAATGTAGAAAAAAATATTAAACATGACTAGGCAGCCATGCTTTTAAATTCAGTGTAGTTAATGAGCAGCATAATACTCAATAGCAAACTACTGCCCTATGCTGGTACATTTTACCTTTTCTTGGAAATCTAAGCTCTGGGAAATTAAGTAAGTCAGTAAAAATTAGGACATCAATTCAGAACAGAGAGCTTGCTTGTTATCAGTAAAAGAGTAAGGCTATGTGGTGCAAAGTTTATTTATTACCTTTCTATGAACACAATGAAATAGACTTGTGCCTTATGTGAAATACTCAAACTGCAAAAATTTTGGCATTTTCATTTGGTAATGGTGGCTGGTTTTTTAGAAATAGGCTAAAATTCAGAGCATTTCAGTGTTCACTAATTTACTCTTCCACTAAAAAATGCTTTCTAAATTTAACCTTTACAGAGTGTTGCTACCAAATGTGAAACACCATAAATCTGACACTTGGTCGGTAAATATTTACAAAAATGCTTTTGTTGGGGATGTGAGTTTGATAAAAACTAAGCTGCACCTTTTATAGGCAAAAAAATGGAAAAGAACAATTACTTTAAATTCATAAATCTTGATAGCAGATCATTCTAGAATTTTCAAAAAAAACTTAATTTTACAACTTTCCTGTAATAGGAAATTCTCTAGTCTTTAAAATCTTATACACAATAATGGTACTAGTATCTGCTTTATTGGGATCCTTACAGAAAAAAATGCACATGGGATTCCTCAGGGAAGGAGATGTGGCTCCTCTCCTTCCCCGCTGATGTTGCCTTGCATCATTCCATACTGTACAGCCAGAAGAAACACGTCCTCATCGGTGTTCAGTTCATCTGCAGCTGTGTGGGAACACTCATGGCCATGAAATAAGCAAATGCCAACATGTTCCTGTGATTGAGATGCAAGTTTGAAGCAGAAGTGATCCATCTTCACGTTTTATGGAACTGGCCCTTTGCTGCAGGATATGTTAGTTATGATACTTAAACTTAATGTCAAATAATTGGCCAACATTTGGGACTTCTGTTACTGATAGCGATAAGAGTATCCTGCTTTTCCTTATTTCTCTTTTGTTTTTTATTCTTTGCCAGCAGCATGGAACACACTTGACTACTTTTGCAGGAGTGTACACTAAAACCGGTGTCTTCAAAGATAGGAGTCAAACCTTGTCACAGTACTTATGTAAGATACTTCAAAATCCTTGATACTTTTGGGGTCCATAGTTCTCAACTGAAAGCATTTAGGAGGCATTCACCCTTCAGATACAAGTTTTCCATGCTTTGCCTGTGTTTGAAATTACTTATATTCCTGATAGGGAAGAGGAATTGTTCTTTGGTTGGCCTAAGCAAAAAGCCAGCTTTTTTCTCTTTGACAAAGGGACAGCAAAGTCACCCTTTTTTCCTCCATAAAAAAATTAAATAAGCTACCAAAACAAGTAAGCTCAACAACAAGCATGATTTCATGAAAACCAGAGCCTTTTTCACTTGGGAAAGATCTGAGGAAGCCTTTCCCTTTCTCCATATACTGTGACATCGCATCAGAATATATAGGGCACTTGGGCTTGCTGAGCACCTTTAGTACCTTTCTCAGGTCTAGAAAGACAATTCTTTCTTTTTCCAAGTTTTCTTACCAGTGGACTGACACTCACTTGTCTCCTAATAAGTTCAGCACATAAGGTATGCCTCAAAGAACAAACTGTTTTCCCAGTGAGGATGAGATTTACATTTTCTAAAATTCCTCAACCTCAAACTCCAACCTGACTGATTGGGTCCTTGGAAATCAAGTTCCTGATAAGCAAA